GATACTAAATATACAGTGGTTTACAATTACAATTACAATGACATGCAATGACAATAAGTAGTCCCGCCTACGTAAACTCTAGTGAAACGAGTATTTTTATAAATATAAATATAAAACTATGATCTGTTCTTTTTTTAATAAAAATGTATATTCTATTCCTTCTCTTGTTTACTAGGCGTGGTCATCCATTGTGTACCAGTTGATTCCTAATGTTACTGAGCTAGAAGAGAATTTAAGTAAATTTGCTGATATCATCGACGGTGATGAAGTTCTGTTGTTTGAACGGGCAACTTTCTTAGTAAGCAATCCAAAGTTTACATGCATAGTACCAAATTACTGGACTCCTTCAAGCCCCAGATAAGCTGCCTCTTTTGAACAGAGCTGCTCCCAGAACATTTTTGTGCCCAGCAGAAAGAAAGTATGAAAATATCAATATCAAAATGAAATCAAAATAACTAAATTTGCTGTTGCAGGGGAGCAAGGAACCAATTTAATCTCAGTTGATCAAGTATTAACCCTAACCATCATAATAATATACATAAAAATATTACTCGACTGTGATTGATTGATTTCAGTGCAGTTAATCTAGGGGTGCACCGGATTTGGAATTTTCAAATCCGACCGGAACCGGATTTACCGGATTTGGACAAAAATGCCGGTTGGAATTCCGGCCGGATTTGAGATAAACCGGTAATGGGGACAATTGGGGATAAATTGGAATAATTCAGTATTCAAAATGGTGGTTTATGTTTTTTTTAAATCAAAGACAAAGGAATTTTTTCATTTATAAAGTGTCAGTTTAGATTTTTGATTGTGTTTATAAATCTTTTTAAATATCATTTTGTTAATAACTTAACATTTTATAATAATATAAATGCTTTTTAAACTTTAAAGCTGCCAAATTGATGGTTTATCCCATTCTTGGTGATTTTTTAAGGTGAAAACAGAAATTTAAATCCGGCCAGATTTTCTCCAAATCCGGCCGGATGCCGGAAAATTTGTTAAATCCGGCCGTAATTTCTGCCGGATTTGAAATCCGGTGCACCCCTAAGTTAATCCCAAACAGCAGTGCAATTTTTTGTAATCACAGTGCAAAAATCTGTAACAAACTGATCTGATCGGTGGAAAAACATTGTGATGATTAAATCAACAAATCAGTTTAAAGCAATTTAGTTTAAAGAAGTAACGGTCACAGATTGCTTCAAAACAAAACAAACATGGCGCCGCGCTACACAAAGTAAAAGTTGCCTTCGCGTGGAAAATATGGCTTTTATCTTTATTTTTAAATGGAAAAGCACTTACCTTTAACAAGACTAACAAAAATTACACAGTTGAGTGGAATTTTCAAGCTGTTAGCGTAATTGTATAATGTGATATAACAAAGCCAGGAAAACTTTGCCAGTGGAATGTTTGCTATAAGCGCGTAAATTAAAACTACAATTGTCTCGAACATTTTTATGTAAATTATTAATAAGTAATAGCATGGTTTCTCGTGAAATTTGGATAAACATGCACTCATGACTGTCGTGAGTTTTTTAAAGACCTCAAATAGCACTCGTCCTTCGGACTCGTGCTATTTTGAGGTCTTTGAAAAACTCACTCGTGCATGTTATATCCAAATTGCACTCGAAACCATTCTATTACCTATATACATATAACATAATGTAGCATTTCTTTACAGTTAAACAATGGAAGTACAGTTAATAACTGCTGACAGCTGGGGGCAGCTTACTCCCCTCCTCCAAAATTGTTTGAAATATACAAGTCGCTTCGTGGTAGTGGATTTTTGAAGGGTTGCATACACATGTGAATATTCTGTTCATATTGACGAGGGAATCATTAAACATCTCAATTATTTGTTCATCCAATGTAGGTCATATCTCACTGTCAAAGAAAAGAACACAAAGACGTTCACCGCTTCGAGAAAATTAGCAACATAATAAAACAGTTCAAACTGAGTTGCAGGTATGTGCCTTTGCTTTCATTGAATTTTAAGACAGTAGGAATTTTTAAATTCTAAGTTTTGAAGGATTTGTCAGAAATGTGGGAGGGAATTGACTTAATGTTAAACACCGAGTCAGTTGCCTCAAACATTTCTTACAAATTCTTCCAAACTAAGAATTTACTCACCCAAAAATCCTACTTTGATCATAGAAACTTTGATAGTTTAAACCAGCCTTAAATCACTTAATATCACATCGTAGTATTCGCAACTTGGTACAATGAATGATAATTAGTCTCATTTAAGTGCCATGACATGGAAATAACGTTTTTCTAAATATCCTTTTCTTGGAACGAACGTTTACATCGTATTCGTTGACGTTTTTCCATGCCTCTTTTCGAAAAAGTAGCCGCAGGAAAATTCTGAGCATGGGGCACGTTTTATTCTGCCAGCATTTATTATCACATTTCTTCTTTTTTATTCCTAAAGAGTATTTTATATAAAGAAAGTGTCGGAAGAGCGCATTCGGTCCATACTCAAATTTGTTTCAAACTACTTTTAGATAAAATCGCTCTATGTCAGTTGTAACCTCTAGCAAAAATTGCCTCTGTAAAGATTATCGACAGTTTTGCATGTGGCAAGCTAGCCTGCAAGTACGCACTATATTGGGGCGGCCGGAAATATAAGACCAGCTACAAACGTAAAAACGCAATCAAGTTGTAACAAACCTGCAGCAGACTTGTTGCAATGCTATTCCAACAACTTGTGAACAGGATGTGTTCGCACTACTTGTTCCCAGCTTCTTGACAACTTGCTGCAATGTTGTTGAGCTTAACCATAGATATCTTATATACACTAGATAGTGCATCTAATTATTCTGCAATTCAAGAATTGAAGCCGTGATTGCAGTCTCAGGTCGTTCCCATGAAATGAGAAGATTCGTAAACAGGGAACTTAAACATTAAGTTAACCCATTTGCAAATACGTTTTTAAACTATTCAAATGATGAAAGTTATTGTTGTGTTTAAGCGTTTATTAGCAAGTGGGAACGACCAACATGGCCGCCATCTATTCAAATGGGGTAACCGCTGGAATATTTTTGGCTTCAATTTTACTAAAAGAGATGCGCTATCTAGTGAATATAAGATATCTATGAGCTTAACAGACCTGTTACAAATTGTTCCGACAACTTGTTATCGTCCTGCAATTGCAATTCATCGATTTGTCAACAAGTTGTGATAACCTTGTAGTGATAACCTTGTAGTGATAACCTTGTAGTGATAACTTTGTAGTGATAACCTTGTAGCAACTTGATAAAATACCAACATTGTTACAACTGGTTGACAAGCTTGCTACAAGCCTGTTGCGACCACATCTTGACAAGTTGTGAGATTTCTACGTGTGTAACATGGCCTTCAGCCCTACTAGAAGGAAGCCCTCCATGTTGCGTTTATTCTAAGCGAGATCTCGAGTAGTTAATAGCGAGATCTCGCGTAGCGGGGCTGCCCCTCCTCCCCCCTCTCATAGAAACGAAAACAATTTTTAATAGAGATTTCCGTCAGCACGCGGGATCTTGCTTCATGTGCACACGTAAAAACGCACAAGTTGTTACAGGTCTGCAAAGAAGTTGTTACAGGTCTGCAAACAAGTTGTTACAGGTCTGAAAACAACTTGTTACAGGTCTGCAAACAAGTTGTTACAAATCTGTTCACAAGCTGTCGACAAGTTGTGTTCGCACTGCTTGTTGCTAGTTGTTGTAACAAGTTTGGAACAAGCTGTTAACAACTTGTAACAAGCTTGATGGCATTATCAGACTTGTCACAAGGTTCTAACAAGTCTGATACAGTCACGATGTAACAAGAATGTCACAAGGCTGACGACACGAGGTTGTAACAATATGGTTGTATCATGACTGTATTGGACCTTTTGGAACAACCTTGCAACGAGTCTGATAATATCAACAAGGTTGTTACAAGATGTTAACAGCTTGTTCCAAACTTGTTGACAACTTGGGACAAGCAGTGCGAACACAACTTGTTGACGGCTTGTTGGCAGACTTGCTACAACTAAAATGTCATATTTTTACGCGTGTAGGACTCGTGTTGACCATTGTCTTATACCTGTACTTATGCCGTGTTTCTGTGTTGTAGTAAACTCCACGCTCATTTCCAAAGTATGGAAGTTCGGAATTCTAGTTTTGCAGCGTTCATCGATGTATTCACAGCCAATACATATGTGATGGTCATAATGTCAGACTCCAGTATCTGTGAGTATTAGTGTCTTTGTTGCTTTTCTCCAATTATATGCCCAACAAAAGAAATAAAGAACATACGGACTCTGTACACATCGTCGCGACGTTTGTGTTTTGCTGTTTGACGTTTGAAAACGAACTATAAACGTAAAACAGATAGGTTAAGATAAATATCAAGATTTTATTGGCATCTCACTCGATTGAATAATAGTTGAAGGTTATTGTAGATGGAAATTATCGAGTGGAAATTTACATACATTTATTAGATCTAACCAGGAACAGAAGCGAAATATGAATTTCCACGCGATACTTTCAATCTACAATACCCTTCAATTGTTATTAGGGAGCTTGAGATGCACGGCCAAATCTGCGACGCGGACGCGACCAAAAAACAGTCGCTAATAATGGGAGACTAGTTTTACTTTGTCTTTCTCGTATCCCTGGCTTTGTTTACCAACAACAATCCATAGATTTTACCCGTTAAGTGAAACTGTGATAATAGCGGCAGTTTTTCGTCACGTCGTAATCGTAGATTTGGTGTATGTTAAGCTCCCTATTCAATCGAATGAGATGCCAACAAAATCTTGATATTTACCCATAACCTACACATGATAGTACCCTAGTATACAGGGTGTATAAAAAAAAAACGCAACCTCGGAATTTCCTAAGAAATCACTTTGCAATTCTTAAGCATAAAAGATTTTAGGCCCCTGGGAATTGAAATCGAATTGCTAATAGATCATATTACTGTACGTAGTTGTGCATTAAATAAATGCATAAATTTTGCTTTATGCACTCGCGTGTGCAGTAAGTTTGACAGTTATGCTATTTTAAATTCCCAGGCGCCTAAAGTCTTTTGTCTTTATAACAATGTCGATTTCTTGGGAAATTCCGAGGTTGCGCTTTTTTTTATACACCCTGTACAGGGTGTCTCAAAAAAACCCCAAATCATTGAAATAACGTATTGTTCGAATTTCAATGCCGTAACACAAAGGATTTTGACAGGGTGATTAATTTGTTTTAAAAAAATAAAATATCTTTGTAAAGTGAACGTTTGTTTGCTCATGGGAATTTAAAAATGCTTCGTAAATTGTAATATGCGTAATATGCATTCGTGGGTTTAGTACTTTATGCCTGACATAACAAGTTTACGCTGAGTATTACCATTCATTATAGCAGTTATGTCAATCTTTTATGCACTCGTGGGATTAACTTAGTGCTAGGGCATTGAATATCGAACAATACGTCAATTTCAATGATTTTGGGTTTTTTTGAGACACCCTGTATATACATGAACTTGTGGTTAGAGCTCGACAACTGGCCTCTGTAGCTCAGTTGGTTGGAGCGCTGCACCGGAATCGCAGGGCCGCAGGTTCGATTCCTACCAGGGACATAAAGTTGCATTTTTCGCAGCTGTTCCTGGTTAGGTCTAATAATCCAGGTGATCTTGATACGCGGAAAAGTACTGGCACTAGTTGTCAAATAGAAATCCATTTTATGATTAAAACAACTGAATATCTCCTGTAATATACTTTATTTCGATTCCATATTTTTGTCAGAGCTATAGTTCTCATAAGCAAACATAATTACAAAATTTCAACTAGTTTCGTAAACAATAACGAAAGATATAATTGACTGATTACATCAAAATGGATTTCTATTCGGACAACCCTTTCTGAGTGCTGATTGGCTAAAATACGAACACGAGATCACCTGGTATCCTCAATAATCCAAGATGGCGAACAGCTCACTTTTTTCAGTCGAGATATTTTGAAAACTAAGCAAGATATAAACAATCTGTAATAGAGTTTAATATATAGTTTTAAGAGTTCTTTCAAATGAACTAAACTAATTTTTTATTGCCAATGTCCTTTAAAAACAATAGATAATCAGCTAAAATGCCTCATTATTACCGTTTCTAATGCGTTCGGCACATGAGAAGCGCGACGTTTGAAACAGGCCTTACCTAAATAATAATAACATGCCAAAATTGGATTACTGACACATGTACTCAGAACATTCATAACTCACGAACTAAGGGGCTGTTTATATGGTCCCGCTTACCCGGGATTTAGGCCCCGTTTACACTATACCGGATTGCTATCGGAGTGGGTCAAATTTTGTAGGTATCGAAAGGCTGTGAAGTTTTTTAATCTCAGAGACCCAAATAAACATGCCAATTCTGTCAAACTAATAAGCATTTGCTACTAACCATTGCTCCGTAACGGCAAAAGAAGATGTCGTGACCAGCGGATCCGGTATAGTGTAAACAAGGCCTTAATGAAGTGTGAAGTATTTTGAGCAATTGAAATAAGTCGCACTTCATGATCTAACAAAATTGCTTGGTACAAATTGTATAAAATTCCATGTTTTAGACAAACAACAAATGTTGTTCAATGCTATTAATCGTCTTCTTCACTACATAACTTCTAGCGCGTTCCTAATTTCGTTTAAACGATATTTAAAGTTGTCTAACTTTTGATGTTTGTGATGTTACTCTGAGTGTATATATATCCACACCGGGCAAGCTTGAAAAATATGCCTGGCCACGGTGGGAATCGAACCTACGACCTTTGGAATACTAAAACGTATTTCAATTGCTCAAAATACTTCACACTTCATTGAATCCCGAGTAAGTCAAGTCAACTCAATTTATTTTAGCCAATAAAAAAAAAATGTTCACAATATCAAAGAGAAAAAAAAATTACATTTTGTAAGGCAAGGAAACTCAAAAGAAACCATAAGGGTTTATGTAATTTGGGCCACCTAGATTAAACTACAGTAATACATATATAGCAAAATTTTAGTGTTAGCTGTAAAAACATATCGAGCAAGATACAATGTGTAAACGAACAAACAAAATTTGGATGAAAAGGAAAAATAGACCAAAAAATTGGGATCAGGTTTTTGACAAAGCATAGATAGAAACTATGTTACATTGATTGTGTGTTTAAATAATACAAAATTAAAGTCTAAATAAATATTCTTTAAGTTTTTTCCGAAAACCGGAGACGGATGAAGCATCATATATATTTTTGGGGAGGGAGTTAAAAAATTTAGGACCTTGGTAAATAATAGCAAATTTTCTCAGGTTAGTTCTACAAAATGGGAGGAAATACAAATTCGATTGTCGCGTATTATAATTGTGAACTTGGTTAACACATGTGAAATACTCATCAAAATTAGACGGTAACATACAATTATGGAACTGATACATAAACAAGCCTAAATGAAACAAATAAATGTTGTTAAATGGAAGAATCTCAAGTTCGTTAAAAATGGGATATGTGTGTGCATCATATGAGGTTTTATAAACAATTCTGATCATTGAACCCCAAACTGGACATTGTAGCAAAAAGTGCCATCTACAGTGTGTATAAAAAAACTGAACCCTTTCAAATTCAAATTAGCTATAACGTATTGTAGTAATTTGACAGCTCTAATTGCTTTGAATTAATGATTGGGTAAGAACACAAGGTCTTGTACGTTAAATTTGCGTCTAAAATAACTCCAAGAAAACTTCATCAACCATATCAATCTCAAAGCTATTTAAGACTATTTTAGGATTGATATGAAACTTTTTTGTCTTGGTCTAAAAATCATAAAATTGGTTTTCTTCAAATTAATTGATAGTTTATTTGCTGATAGCCACACGGTCAGCTTGTCCAGTTCTCCATTTACTTGATCAATAAGGAACGGCAAATTGTTATGCGAGAAAAACAGGTTTGTGTCATCAGCGAATAAGATAAGGTCAGCAATGTTGGAGACCTTATTAATGTCATTAATATAAAGCAAAAAGAGAAGTGGAGCTAGTATTGAACCTTGGGGTACACCACAATAAATAGAGTTTTTTTTCGAGTACACCCCATTGAACTGAACAAATTGGAGTCTATTACTAAAGTAACTTTTAAACCAATCAAGTGCTACTCCACGAATTCCATAATGCTGTAGTTTATCAAACAAGATACTATGGTTAACGGTGTCGAAGGCTTTGGATAGATCTAAGAAGATGCCAATTGTAAATTCATTGAGGTCAATAGCGGATGAAATTTTATTGTATAGTTGCAACAATGCTAAAGAAGTTGAATGGCCGCTTCGAAAACCAAACTGATTGTCAAAGAGAATATGGAGCCTGTCCAAGTAGTTAATTAAACGAATGGAAACAATTTTTTTAAAGACTTTCGAGAAAATTGGCAGGATTGATATTGGTCGGTAATTTGAAAATATTTGTCGATCACCAGTTTTAAAAATTGGAACAATTCGAGCGATTTTCAGTTGATCAGGAAAAAAGCCGGATGACATCGACAAGTTGACATGGTGGGTTAAAGGAATGGATATTAGGTCTATGCAGTCTTTAATAGTTTTGATAGGTAAATTATCATATTCAGTGGCAACACCATTTCTGAAAGATTTGACTACGGCAGTTATCTCTTGTTCTGTAGTCGGCTCGAAGAACATAGTATTTGTGAAATTACCAGTGAGAAAAGAAGTGTGCGAGACCAGTACAATAGGTAACTTTTTGGATAAATTGGGGCCTATATTGGAGAAATAATCGCAAAAATAATCAGCAATTGTGGGAGAGTCAGAGAAGTCGTTGTCATTGTTTACAAATGTGGATGGAAGCCTGCTGTTCCGTCGTTTGTATTTGTTGATTACTTCATTCAAGATGCTCCAGGTTTTTTTACAGTTAGACTTATTATGCTCGATTAGATCCTCGTAGTAATGGCGTTTCGCGATGCGTAATAAATGATTTAATGTGTTCTTAAATCTTTTGTATCTATCCTTGTTGTCAGCAGTTGGAGAGTTTAAATAACGCTTGTACAACTGGTTCTTTTTTCTTATTGATTGGAAAGCCAAGGTTTGAAAACTGTTGACCTTTTATTTTTTATGTTTTTGAGCGAAAAACAGGAATTGTAAAGATTAGTAAAAATATTCAAGAAACTGGAGTAGGCCTTTTTTGGCTCATGAATATTTTCGAGATCATACCAATTAATGTCGTGTAAACGATTGCGGAATTCGTTTCTATTTTTTTCGCTTTTGTCACGAAAAACGTTATATGAAGCTTCATCAGTCAGTGGTTCGTTATCATTGGAAATAAGAAAGATAGGTAAGTGATCGGATATGTCAGATAAGATTAAACCACTAAAAACATATTGATCAATATCGTTTGATAATATATTGTCAATAAGCGTAGCGGAGTGTGAGGTTATTCTGGTGGTCATTTCCGGGGTAAGCGAGAACTCCGCTTATAACACGCGTCCTGTAAGGATATAATAAAACAATAGGGGTCTTTTGGTAACTACTTGATAAAACTATCAATTTCACTAGTCGAGACAGTGGTACAAACTCACCACCAGGTTTATTTCGCGTACGGTAATTTCACCCATAGGAATCTCGGAAATTATTAGATCGTTTCATGTTAATTAATTTCTATGCCTCATCATGTATTAAACGTTGTAATTTTTAATATTAAGGGGCCATTCACAAAGGACGTTCGGCCAAATGATGGATTTTCAGAACTCCCTCCCCCCTTTCCGCCATTATCCGAATTAGTGACCCCCCGCCCTCCCCACGGACATCCGCCATGCCTCGCAAAAACTCACGCAACCTTGTATATGTCAAGAGTAAAAATCTTTTTTTACTTTTAGAAATTTTTTATAACTATAAATGTGAATACAAAAACATATAAATTATTAATTAAAACAAACAACAATGTTACTGCAACAACGGGATGAACTTATTGTAAAGAAAAAGAGAGTTGGACATGCAGAAAGCCTTTATCATGCCCCTGTGTGTGGATAAGCACGTCCAAAATTTCGGCAAATTACACTATACTACTGTTCGAAATACTATCGTTCGAAATACTACCGTTACTTGGTTTTTGTTCTAATTTATTAACCTCACCGTCAGTTTGTTCTTTAGATTCGATTTGTTGATTTTGGTACTTGCTCTGTTCGTCAAGAAGTCCTTCTAGAAGCATTGATTTTAAGTCAAATGTAGGATCGCGCAGTGCTCGCTTTCGTATTTTCGGTGAACTTCCGCCTATAATGAATTGTTCTTCGATTTCAAATTCAACGTCTGCAAATTCACAGGTTTCTGACATTGTTCTAAGCCGGGTGTGAAATTGATCTAATGTCTCTTTGTGTTCTTGAGTTGTTTGTCGAAAACGATAAACTTCGTACCGCCGATTCTTTTGAGGGTCGAAGTAAGCCTTTAATTTCTGTTTCGCGGTATCGTAGTCCGTATCAGTCCTGTCCCGGGAATTTGTTTAAAAATCTCGCGAACTCTCGGTTCAGCTCGATATAGCAAGAGTGCACTTTTCGCTTTGAATCCGTTATTCCACTTGCGATTATATACATTTCAAAGTTTGACTGCCAATTGTTCCATCTTGTCGAAAGGCTTGTTCCGATTTTTGCATCTGGCCAAAATTCTGGCATTGTTGTTATTGTTACAGATTGTATGATCTGTACAGCCGATTGCTGCAGTGGTTGAGGCTCTGCCTGCTCTTCCACCATCAGTATAATAGATATTTTCGTTTATGATAGAAAACGTTTATCTTCGTCGCCATTATAATATTCTGATATTTAATAGACTTCTTGATAGACTTCTAAATATCTCGACTACATGAAAACAACTGAATATATAATGTCAATATTCTAAATATCAACTAATCGTAATACGTGAGTTAATGATTAATAGACGTACATTGCTATAATAGCCAGACGTCCGCGATATTTGATGAACTTCGCACTTCGCTAATGCTTTCCTTTTCCCAGATGTAAATAGGCGAGCGGAATTGGTACGCTCGCCACCGGCTTACGCCCGGAACGACCCTTTGCACCGTTGCAGTTGGCTCGGAGGAAATCCAATGTGCTTTCAAGGAAGTAGAACAAGTAACGAAAAATGGACAAATATTAGGCTTTATTATTTTGCCATTTTACCACATTTTCTTACATAAAAAATGTGATGAAAATGGGAGAAAAAATGAGGAACAGGATTTATGTTTTTAGCTTGAATGTCAGAAATCACAGACGTGGTTATTCTATTTCCTTGCTAATAGAATATAATCGATGTGTAACCCGCTGAAATATGGCTTCTGCGGTAAACAGTAAATTGTATTATGCCGCGATGCTGTAAATTACAAAATCGGAGAATACGGTAGGTCGTTAGCAATTTGGCTCAAATGCTGGTTGCAGAAAAAAGTCTGTAGAAATATTGATAGTATAATGTTTGCCTGGTTCAATGGACCTTTCCCCTTATGAGTGAAATATTGATCTAGATATGTCTGGACAAATTTTCACCACAGCTTGAAAGAGCATCACAAATTAGTAATATTCCGAAGTTTCGTTGCGAAATGTAATTGTAAAATGCGGATAATATATTCTTGCGAAGTTTTGCCGTTTTTCAGTCATTTTTCATTACAAATGGAAATTGATAATCAGATGATCAAACTGATTATCAATTTCCTATTTGTAATACAAAATGACTGAAGAACGTCAAACTTCGCAAGGCTATAATTATTATCTGCATTTTACAACATTTCGCAACGAAACTTCTGAATAATTATTACTAAATTTGTGATGCTCTTTCAAGCTGTAATGAAATTTTTGTCCAGGCTTGTCTAGATCAAAATTTCACTCATAAGAGAAAAAGTCTATTACTGCCTATTCTGCCTTTTTTGCTTGTTCCTAGTAGCATTGGTGCGGTATTTTTGTGTGGAATTAAAATGAAATAGATGAATGTCGTAAAAATTAACTACTGTAAAAACTAACCTCAAATCATGCGTACACTAAATACTTCGACAGTCTGTTTTGCAGACTGAGAATGAGGAAAGTCGCAAACGACCCAATTCACTATCAGTCTTGCGATTAACAACATCGCGTTATCTAATTAACTGTTTACTGTTGAACCATGCAATTGTGGTAAAAAATGGACGAAAATTAAGGAATTTGCCTTTTCATTGGTTTTTTCACGTTTTTTCACTTTAACTCTTATTTTATGAGTTTCATTTTGCATTACCCATCGTCTTCCATTCAGTTTTCCTCACCGGACATAGCTTCATTTACCAAATGCTCAGCCACGTGAATGTGAATTTCTTCTTCCTCCAGGTTACCTTTTAAAAGCCATCAGTTTTTCGCATAATTTTTTTGGAATCACAAAGCTAGCAGGGACGTAGCAAGACTTGAAAAAGGGGGGGGGGGAGCCATGAAGCCAGGCTAATGGTATAGTAATGCTATAAGTTTGCTGCAAAAGAGCTATATGCAGAGTTGTTGGCATTGTCGTATAGCCAGGGGATTATTGGTTAGAAAGAACTTGCATGGGTGGTTGTGGCCATGCACTAGACGAGGACCAACTACAAATTTCAGAATTGCAGCTATCAAAAGTAAGACTTGCATGCCATACTTTATTTAGCTTTTCGAGGGTTAGACAGTGAAACGCAAAACACCATTGTTTGCCTATCCACAAGCGTATAGGCGTAGTATAAAGAAAACTGAACGCAATTGTGTAAGACTTTATGTACTGTAGACAGTAAATTTCAAATGTAATATAATGTAAGTTATGTTGTTATATAACCAATGAGGTCCGAGTTAAGTCGATTATTAAATCATAATAACAAACTCAATTTTTCATACCGGAAAAACGTTCGATTACTCGGTCTGCATGAATTGGTTCTGTATCGTAGATGTACATCATGGCCAAAGAATTCAAACGACCTTCAGTGGTTGATTACGCAAATATGTCTTGAGAAGCCGTAGAGACGAAAAACTGGGCTCAACGGTTGCTGTTGATATGGGCAAGATGTTGGCAATAGTTAAAAGGGCGTTTACTTAATGCTTGGAAATTCATTGGGATCGCAAAATGATAACGTTGCTATGTGATCAGATGATGAATCAGTTGAACTGAAAATTCTCACTTCCATTTAGCAACCCACAATCGGTACTGCGCTAAGGCATTCATGCCACTAGTATCATGAGGCATAACATTGTTAATAGCATGAAGAAATTGAGAAAAGTTTCCATAAAACTGCATGAACTCTTCTTCCACTGCACCACTTTTTGCACAGTTTGTTGGAAGCAGCGTATCAAACAACCCAGCAAACGTCGTTTTTTCATTAAGTCGAAATCGCTCAAGAATTGTATCCAAAAATGGGATATACACTGCTACGCGGAAATAATCAAGTCCGTGAGTAGAATCGTCAACATCTGAAACATCTGGGTTATCTCGATACACTGATCTTTGACAAACTCTTGGACACTCTACTTTGATATTGAAGCATGTTACTGTGTCGAAAATCAACTTTACTGAAGTAAGTATCTATATATTTAGCAATAAATATTTCCAAGGGGGGGGGGGTAGCCGCGGCTCCCACGACTCCCCCTGGCTACGTCCCTGAAAGCTAGACAACGATTAAATCAGTATCAGAACAATAGCATACACAGAAAAATAAAATAATGTAAACTAAGATCATTGAAAGCGCAGAACGATTTGATTTCATAAAGTACAAAGCAATTTGATGCGCATTACTAAGTTGACCAACCGATAACTTGGACTTTGTGGATGACAAGGTAATTTTTAGAATTTGTCTTATAGATTAAGAAAGTTACTGGGCCTAACTACGAGGTGTTAAAGTGGAAAAGTTGGACACTGTAGGTGTGCCTGAAGATCCAACCACTGGAAATGATTGCATTTTTGAGCATACACGCCTTGATCGATTTTCGGCATTTTTGACACAACTTTTTGACATAAATATTTCATCCGGTGCGCAAAGTTTTATTAATGACAATACTTAAAATACATATCCTATTATATTTTAGGTCAGGAGGAACTTACTCTGGGGGAACTTACCCCTCCAGTTTAAAAGTTAGCACTAGAGGCCGCGGAATTAATCCAGATTCTTCAATTGAAAGCCAATTTCGAGTTCTCGTGATGTGGAGTGAAATTAGAAACTAAAAAATCTCCAGAAATCCGTCGGATTCGTAAAATCGACGAACTCCGACTCATTACCTTTGAAAATGAGAATGGAAAATCAGGGAAGCCTGGGAATTGGGTATCGTGGAATCAGGGAATAAAGCAGTCGGGGAAAGTGGGGCGTACACTAAGTGGGGGAAGATAGAAACAGAGAATAGGGAACCTAGAAAATAGCGGGTCTAGCATATAGAAAATAAGGTATTTAAAACTTACCAAAACACTGACGAAATCTTGGCACGCCATTTTATAAAGCTGGATTAAAACTGGTATGTTTTTCATTACACGCGCCAAAGCCTGCACAAAACGCTCGTACCTGTAACCGTAGCAACGACAACTCGTGATAGCATTCCGTTGGAAACTCTCCGAGGTAAGCGAAAACTCCGCTTATAGCACGTGTCCTGTGAGGATATAATAAAACAATAAAGATTTTTTTGCAACTCACTCGATAAACCTATCTATTTTACTGGTCGAGATTGTGGTACAAACTCACCACCAGGTTTATTTCCCGTACGGGGAATTTCACACATAGGAATTCAGGGAATTATTAGATCGTTTCTTGTTCTATGAATCAACATGTATTAAATGCTGTAATTTTTATTATTAATACATTTATCATAATAGCCGTCTTTGTAGAGGGCTGTAAAGTAAAGTTGATACAATAAGGAATTCAAAAAAGTATTTACAATTTTCATTTTAGACCATTGAATGGTTACTTGAGCTACAATAATTAATTTCTTCAAGGTATTGTTGGTATTGGTGTATGTTTACATTTTCACCTTCAGCTATTACACCATGCTTTTATTTACAGCGCGGGCGTAGGACTACATTTTGGGTATGCATGATGGGGAGTAAAATACTTAAGGGAAGTCACACTAGAAGGGGAGCTGAACACGCATGTTCCTGAATTAGTTAATTAACAAAATTATCCTTGCTCGAGGTACGAATAGGCAATTCCAGCTGTTAATTTATGCGCGTATAGAGGGTGGCGGGAAATAAGGAATCATCCTGTTGATTATGTCGAAACATTTCAGAAAAACAACCGAAATATTTCAATATTTACAAGTATAAGCTATCACTCCGTGTTTACACGGTCACCATTTTTATTTTTTCAGCATAATCAGCAATACGATACCTTATATCCCATCCCCCCTTGCACGCATATACTATAAGCTGGAATTTTTTTTTTTAAAGATTTATTCATAGATTGAGCATAGCTAGATACATTAAAAATATATAAAATCCATTAAAGCAATTCGTTTAAAAAGGTTCAAGTTAGTACAAAGTGTCAAACAAGCTAGTATTATTCATATAAAAAGGAACTCTAGTGCCCCTCAAACATAGAAGGGAAGATCTCAGCAGACAAAAAGAAAGTTTCGTACGTAGCCAAGACATAGTTATTGAGTATGGTTTGCCAAATTTGGCTGCCAGCTTTGTAGCAAGAATCTTGTGAAATCTCGCACATTCTTTACCCATCGCACCATTTGTGCCAAAGACCAATGGTGTAAAAACTGCTTGCTCAATTTCAATTACTCTTCGATTATATTCTCTTTTCTTCTCATTCTCATGACGTGAGAGGATCTTGTGGGTTGGTAGTAACTTATAGGACGCGGCGTTAAGATGTGCTACTCTTATGTCAAAAAATGCACTTTGGCCATGTCTATAGAAACCCCTAGCTTTCACATCAAGTCGTGATTCATCTTCTGTGTTTGTTGATCTCAAGGCAAATTCTTCTCCTGTCACCGGTTGTAAAGGTGGCTCGATAGAAACATTATTGCAGACTTCAGAGAGGAGAGCAGCTTCCAGATTTCTCATTTGGTCGTGGCACGCGTGTATAAAGCCACCTTTTTTACACTCCATCGCGTGGTAAGGATCGAAAGGTTTTCCACAGGGACATATGCTTGGGAGATCTGGGATATATTTGTTATATCTCAGCGCCAAAGCGTCTCTGAATTCTTCTTTATTCAGACAGAAGCCTTCTTCTTGCAGTGGTAAGACATTTAACCATCCAGAGGCACCTTTATTTCGGGCTAAAGAGATTGTTCGATGCTGCTCTTGGGAAAGTTGAATATCAACCGATAATGAGGAGGTAGTTGCTCTTTCCACCCGAAGACTTCGAACTTGGGACTTTACGTTGGCTATTGCGACGTCTTGTGGAAGTTGATTACATGCTTGAATGATGATCAAAGCAGATAGTGGAGCA